ATGCCGAAAAGTAGCCTATGACACCAGCCGGGGCTTGAAGTGTATGTGTGCCAAGTTTGGTCCGGATCGGTTCAGAAATGGGATTTTCTATTCGGGACGTACGTACAGACAAACAGACAAACAGGCATTCAGCTTCATATATAAGATGATGCGTCTCGCCGAGCTGATCGAACGGTGTCCTTGGATTCAGAATTCGTCCATTCTGAAGCGAGATATGGCAATCTGCCTCACTCCGGCGGACTCTAGTGGAGTATGGCGCACTCTGCCGCAGTCCGGCGGACTTTTTGACGAATTATGAGCGGTATTGTATTTCCGCCGCACCCGTGCAGCGAACAACGGCGTGAAAGCGCCTTTGAAAAGAGCTATCTAGTAAATTGAAAACTCGGTGCGTTCTAGTACGGATAGTCATGTCTTCAAGTACTTTTTTTACTCCTTTAGAAGCATGTGCTTATTTTGGTGTCACAGGAGGAAGGAAGTCCTACACAGCCGAATTTAAACTGAAAGCAGTAGATTATGCTGCCAAGAATGGAACAGGCCAGGCTTCTGTAGAATTTGGTGTCGGTCCAAGATGATACAAAGATGGCGAAGTGATCAGGAGAACTCAGAAAGTGCGAGAGAAATAAGAGAGCGTTACGAGGACTCCCACCAAAGTGGCCAGCCATAGAGAAAGCGCTAAATGGATGGATTATCGAGCAGCATGAACGAGGAAGGAGAGTAGGAGAGTTACAACCGTACGATTGAGGGCCAAAGCTATTGAGGCAGCACAAAGGCTTGGATACGAAGACTTCACTGATGGTGCTCACTGGTGTCACAGCTTCTTGAAAAGGAAGGGTTTTTCTTTCCTAAGCGCACCAGCATTGGCCAGCCACTCTCTTCAGAACCCAAGATGGCTAACTTCAGGAAATTCGTGATGGACATTACGATAAATATGAATCCAGCAAACTTAGGGAATTTAGATGAGGTTCGTTGCCTGCGATGTAGCTATTCGTTGCCTACGATGTAGCTAGCAACAGAAAGTCGAAGTATTAGGTTGTAAAGAAAGTTCCCGGGCACTTTTGAAAATTTCATTTTCGAACGCATTTTTTCGGCTCTCAGTCGGACTTTGACACCAAGTCTTCTATACTGCTCAGTAGAGGAAAGCCTGAAGTTTTTAATACGCCTTTTGACTTTTATCGATGTCAAGACGTGTTTGACCCGCACATCAAGAAGAGAAATCTTTTCAACCACGAAAATTTCACAATTTTTCTTCCTATGGCCATTTTTTGTGCAATTCAAAGAATTTTGTCCAAATGATGGGTGAATTGATTGAGAAGCCTGTTAACTTCTGACCTGCAGCTGCACTCGAGTTTTGCGATTTGCACTCAGAAAATACAAACTGTCGAACTTGCCTCTGACTGCAACTGTTTTCGCAGCTGGCGTCGCTTCTGCGGGGATCGCCACGCCTGGATGATGGGTCCAAAAGATGTGCAGGGCATTACCCCACCAATGTTGCCAGTAATCAAAGATTTGGTCCTTTCTGTGCAGAACTAGAAGACTTCAAAGTCACTTACTCGATTAAAGGTGCATTTTTGGGGGCAAAAAATGGTCGATTTTTCAAATTTTCTGGGAAAAATTTTTTTTGCAGCTGGTCCTTCAAAAACGTGAAAGGCCCCCATAACGGCCCCAGCAGACCTCTATATAACTACAGCATCTGGGCTTTCCAGCTCTCATCCTGCCTGAGATAATCCTGCACAAATAGGCCACTTTTCGCGACGACCTTTTTCCCTTCTGCGCATGCTGGTGGACCGCAGTGAGGTGCTGGGAAGCCAGCAAGAAAATTTATGCTGAAAACAAAATTGTCTTTGCAATGAAGTTTGTAGCTTCAAAAAAGAATTAATCTGCTTGAAGTTACAGCGATTTGAAAAAAATTTTCGCAAGTGCCCGGGAACTTTCTTTACAACCTAATACGATCACTACAACGGATTATGAGAAGAAAAATCATACAGTTGTGTTGGGTGTACTGCTGACGTAACAAACTCAAATCAATGCTGATTTTCAAAAGGCTTTCAATGCCAAAAGTGAGATTTCCGGAAGGTGTGGTCATCAAAGTGAACCAAAAAGGGTGGATGACAAAAGCGATTATGAAGGACTGGTCCAGAGAGTGTTGGCTGACAAGGCCCAATCTGGCGCAAGAACCTAGCCGCTCATTGCTCATTTTCGACTCCGCAAGATCTCACTGAGCGACGAAGTCAAAACTGAGGTTGAAAGCGTTTCTAAGATCGCGGTTATCCCAGGAGGCTTGACAAAATATCTGCAACCGCTGAATGTGGCCGTAAAGCTTATCACCCTTTCGATTCCAAGTTACTACTAGTACTTGAAACGTTCTTTTATTGTTCAGCGGATCTTGAAGAAAAATGAAAGATAGAGAATTTTGTCACAAACAAATACACTTGCGAAGAAACCAAATAAAGAACGATTGTTGAAAGCCCGTATTAGATTACCAGGTGAAATAGATAGTAGTTGCTGCTTGTGCGGCTTCGCGCATCGCGGACGACATCGCATTTTAGCCCGCGCGCGGTGAAAAGAATTACGGCTTATACGCCAGAAAATAGGGTTATTGCACACGTCCTAATGTGATTAGAGGGCTTCAAACCGAGAAAATTGCATTAGAAAATGCGTGTGGGCTGTCCACCCCACCCATTGACATTGGGTGGACGAAAGGCGTTTTTGCCTCTCTTAACCAGCGAGAAGTATGAGGCTAGAGTAACATGTTTTTTTTTGCTACATTTTGTTTTGTTTTGCGGCTAGCATAGGCTTATTCCCAAAAATGAAACCATAAGTTACGAGTATCTCAAAGAAGTTGCTTCTATATACAGGATCTCGCAAATTTTATAGCCACTGTCAAGCAAAATAAACTCAGTAAGTGATTCGGATTCTTTGTTATTCTGAAGGGGTTTTTTTCACTTTAAATCACCATTCCTACATGGAAGGTAGGAATGAGGAATTGTTTACGATTTATCTGTGACTAGTTGGCATACTCGGTCTTGCTCGGTTCATGAGCCACGGAGCCAGAGGGAGGAGGGGGAGCGCATAAAATATGTCTGCTTTAAAACCGAGGCCTTTCCATTTTTCATCCCGTCCATCTGCTGCATTCCTGCCCTCCCCCCCCCCCACCTCTCCTTCTCCGGTCCTGCAGCCTATATCCACCTGCAGGATGCATTGTAATTGCAAGCGCCTACCTCAAAGCAGCATCATCTGGATGTACCGCATCCTTCTGACCGCAAAATGAGAATGAGCTTACTGTTGTTGCTTATGCTTATCACAAAATATGCAAGCAGTATGATAGCGGCTGATAAGGCTTCGTTTTCATTGCTAGGTGCCAAAAATCTATGAATCGATAAGAAAAAACCCAGCAAATCGCCTCAAGAATAGCCTGAAACCATCTACAGGATCGAAAACCTATATGTGCAAAGTTTCAGGTCAGTTGGTTCACGCGCAAGAAAGTCTATGAAAACATACGGTCCAAAGTTGCACAAATTTTGACTTTTATCATCAAGACCTTATAATAACGGGCTAAGGGTTGTTTACGTGTGTGTGTGTGTGTGTGTGTTTATGTGTGTGTGTTTATGTGTGTGTGTGTGTGTGTGTGTGTGTGTGTGTGTGTGTGTGTGTGTGTGTGTGTGTGTGTGTGTGTGTGTGTGTGTGTGTGTGTGTGTGTGTGTGTGTGTGTGTGTGTGTGTGTGTGTGTGTGTGTGTGTGTGTGTGTGTGTGTGTGTGTGTGTGTGTGTGTGTGTGTGTGTGTGTGTGTGTGTGTGTGTGTGTGTGTGTGTGTGTGTGTGTGTGTGTGTGTGTGTGTGTGTGTGTGTGTGTGTGTGTGTGTGTGTGTGTGTGTGTGTGTGTGTGTGTGTGTTCTGTCTGTCACGAAATTGAACGAGTTCCATCAAAGATCTTGAGCTAGAATTTTGATAGTAGCACCCTATCATAGTAGCACCCTATCAGCAGGTAGGTAAAATGTGCAAAAGCACAAGCCGATCCGATAGTTGGAACCTGTGAAATTGTGCGCCAAACGGATCCACGCGACACTTCGCGCGCCAAAATGGGCCTGTAATTGGACTTCTTTCAAAGTCACAGTTTTGTTTAGCAAGTAAATCCGCGAACCATGGACCCTAGCTCGAAAAGTGAGCAAAAAGTTTGCTTTCGCCCGAGATCGGCGCCAAAAAGGAATAATTGCATAGATGATCGATTTGTCAAGGTTTTACCTGGGAGTGCGGGACAATTTTTGCTCAGAGATGTAACTCACGGTTGCCATCATCTCTATGGCCAGTATCAACTCATTATAACCCCAATACTGATTCAAAATCGCATTTAATCTTCTGAAGAATAATTTCTTCCCCTTAAAGTCACCGATCTTACATGAAAAATCTTTTGGAATGAGTAGTTGTTTACATTTCATTCGTGATGATCGGCATCGCGAGGTAAGTTTCAAAGCCATCATTTTGCGACTACCAGGTTGGTATGTGGATAGTACAGCCAGTGCGAGCCTCTGCGAAGCAGAGGTGACGCACTGGTAGATATATAAATGTTCAGCCTTACGCGGTGAGCTGCAGAGTCATCATTGTGCGAGCGCGACGAAGACGTGCAGCAGTAGAACCAGTAGAAGCGAATTTCTCACATTATCAATATTATATTATGTTAACGATATTCAAATTTTAATATCGAGTTGGGACGCATATCTACGATCGAGTCGATTTTGCGCATGATATAGTATGCCAGTGACGAAAAATGTGCGCGTGGACGAATATCCAAGTAATAGCAATTTTGCGCGCGCAGGTGGCCGACATTACAGTCGTAGCTATTTGTTCACGCGCAAATTTTTCCGCATTTTCTCGATACCGCACTGAACTGAGCCGAAAATCTACTCCGCTGTACGTGACCTCTTCATTTTCGAACGGTACTCTTCGCTGCTCAAACTAGTGGAACTTTTCGAAAGCTTGCTTCATTAGAACTAAATCCGAACTCACGCCGGGTGGCAGGTGATCTTTCAAATTCCACGATTTATATGAATTGTAGTCAAACGCTGAGACGCCGCAGATCCACAGTGTCCACCAATACATGGCCGTCTGGTCTGCAAACTTATAGACAAGTGAGAGCTGCTAATCACAACAGGCCGATAAGCACTATATAATCCTTGTAGTAAACAAATGATCTATCATACAAGCTCAGTGTGTCATTTTTCTTTTGAAGAGCCTTTGCTATCGTGAAAAGCATCTCCTACATGAATGCTTTCACTTGACATCGTAGACCTCGCGGTTTCCACTTTTTTGAGTTTTGCCTTGAACCATTGAAATGCTACGTTTCCTGTCATCTTCGGATACAACTACAAGTGCAAATAGAAAATCATGAAGTAGTTGTTTTTTTTAGCGTAATGGGTGCTGTATTTTTCAGGTAAGAGGCACAAAAAATGTATACAGGGGTCGTTTTAGGGGAGTACGTTCACATTATTGGGTGCATCATCAACTGCTTATGATCTACTGTTGCACCTTAGCGGACAGAGTGGTGAGAAATATGATAGTGGGAATTTATATCGTGACATAACTAATAACGCCGAACGGGTCCGTATTACCTTGAAAATGCCAGTGTCACCTCTGCTTTTTGGAGGCTTACAGTGAACGTTGTGAAAAGCCCAATAATACAGAGTTTCGTTTAAGTCCACAATCTTAGCATCTTAGCCAGGGCTCCGCACGAGCTGGCACCAGGAAAATTTCAAAACGGAGTCCCGTTTGATCTCGAAAATTTCGTACGAAGTCCCCTTTGACCTGTTTTGAGGACATACCATTATTTTTAGATTATGTAAAAGCTTGTAGTAGGGCTTTCATGCATGCTGATTTCATGGAACACAACTTTTCACAGCTTTCTGACCTTTTTAAGTGGTTGAATCATATGTTGAGAAGCAGAAAAAGCCAATTTTTCGACTGCGGGGCAGACCCAGTTTCAGATGGCTATAAAGCGCTGATAAGAGAACATTATGAAATTGTTTCTTTTCTGTATGTAAACTTTTACGGTGTAGATACGTTTCATGTAAAAAAGTATGAAAACTCATGCGAGCAAAGTGTCGGTGCCAGCCCAGCTGGTGCCAGCTAAAACAGAAAAAAGTTCAGCAGAGCTTTCATTCACATAAGTTTTCATGAATTTTTGGGCCATAGTTCGGGTCCCCCAACCCGCATGCACACACCAAATTTGGTGTCATACTATTGCGTTTTGGCTGAAAACAACGCTTTTTGTTTGTTTGCTGGACAGCATGCCGGTGGCATGTCGGCGGCATTCTTGCGGCTCTTCTCCGCGCCGGACCCCGGAACAACGATATCCCCTTTGATTTCGCCCTAAAAACGATATCCAGCTTGACCCGGTGCCAGCTGTGCCGAGCCCTGATCTTAGCATAAAGAATCAATGCATCCTAAGGCTCCCGCCAGAGTGCCGAAGTTATGCCAGCGCTACGCCAGCATTTCGATCGATACACGTGTATTTCGTTGGGGACGTCAGCTAGCCCCGCCTCAACGAAATACACGTGTATCGATCGAAATGCTGGCGTAACGCTGGCATAACTTCGGCACTCTGGCGGGAGCCTAAGCGACAACAGAAACTGTGGCTCGTAAAAGAAATCAGAAAATTTTGGAAATCGTTGCGTGTGTATAAGGCAACTCGGTTGGTGATCAAAGTACTGGCTATCTCAAACCAGTGGCGGGTGCTCTTGCAGCGTCTCACGTGGGCCCGCGCGGCTACCTCGCTTGGACCTTGCCTCGTTCGCGAGCATGTCGTGGTCGATTTTCCGCTCCTAGGTCTGGGAGGGCTCAGAGTCGAGCTTCCTTCGCTAATCATGAGTAGGAAATGCTTAGCATCGTTTATTCGCTAACGCGATGCAACACTGAGCGAGGCGGTCGCGCAGGTCCCGAGCAGCCAGTGCGGCCAACACTCCAATTGAGATAGCCTGTAGCTGCGTATGCCAAATATTGTTTTCATGAATGGTGAGTGATTATTTGGGAAATACGACGAGTCACTCAAACCTGCAATTACATCATTCTCTTTCTTGACAATTATCGTTTGTTTTTCTTTATGCAGTACTGAATATTATGCTCCTTGTCCTGTTGGCACCCTGCTCAAAGATGAGTCCTATCATTTCATTACACGCCAGCGCACCATCATTATCCAGGACGGTTCGCAGTATGAAGAGGGAAAAAATATCAGGAAATACCTTCACCAAATGTCGAACACAATTAAAAATTGCCTGCTAAATTTAACCACGCGAGCATATTAGATGTCAGCTCTTCTGTACAGCTGCGCCTCAAATGGAGCAGTTGCGATACAGTAGCCTTATCTTGAGGTCATTGCGTCACCCCCTTCGCAGAGGCGCACTGGTCTCCTTACTATAACTTCCTCATGCTCGCATGATGCTGCTTCTGAAACTCTCCGCGCGAAACTGAAACACCAATGAATTATAAATAACTACTTACTTTGAGAACTTCCTGAGATCGGTAACTTTGGACGCAAAAACTTTTCTGCGAAGGAACAATGGCTATTCAACTTATTTTCTGTATTCATTAAGGGATAGTTGCCGTGATCGCACTAAACAGTCTAATCTATAATTCCAAGTCTTGTCAATTTAGGGGAAAACCTTGAAAAATTGATGATTAATGCACTCATTCTTCTTTGGCGCCGTTTACACAAAAGAACAGATTTTTCGATCACTCCTTGAGCCAGAATCTATCGTCGAATTTATTAACCGCACGGACTGCTCAAACATCTGCGGACCACGGGTGCGGTTGAATTGTCGCGAGAGCACGACTTGTACAATGACGAAATTGTACTGGGGCAAGCGTTCGGCAGCGCAGTCTACTTCTCCAACAAATCCGCAACTTTGCAATAGTACGAATACTGGCCCAGTATTACGCGTTGGAAGCGGTGGACCCACTTAACGCACATTTTTAAGGGCTTCAAACCTTGGTGCAAAAAATCGGCTTAACACATTCACGACAATACGACACCGATGGGTCGTACTTGTTCTAGCGTTTCGGACAATACGTCCCACCGGTGGGTGGTAAGATTCCTAAAGCTCAAGTTTTGCCAGTATACGATGGAATTCTAGGGGGTTCTGGCACATGATTGGGGACACCTTGGCGAAGGTCCTACAGAGTGGTCCGCGTTCGGGATACTATAAAGTAATGTTACGGTAGGTATACCGTAGATAGAGGTAAAGCACAGACTTTCGCTCAAATTTTTCGCAGATTGGTGCTGTATTTGAATATTCAAGTTTACATGCACGAGGAATACAAGGAGGGCACGATATCGATGTCAGCTAATCAAAATATCGATTTTATTGATTTTATTGATCATTCGCGTTGTTCATACCAGGAAGCTCAAACTTTAAATACATAGGTTTTTTAGCATGCTGATTACGAAAATGATAGTTTCAAGTTCTAATGCCGCTTTCTTATGTCAGATTCTTGATTCTTACAAAATTCTATCGTACTGCTGTCGTAGTTCCACCGTGAAAAAGTACTGAACAAAGTAGACACTGTAGATATGATCAGCACTTGAAATAAATCCAAAACACAATTTTTCACGAAAATCCATGATGTTGATTTCGTACTAAATGACTACCGTAGCCCTACCGTGTACTGCCAAAAACTGAAGTAAATCATATTTTGGTAATCAGCGCCTTCGATAACCCTTGTGGGGAAATTCGCGGAGACATGTTTTGAATTATTCCAAAAAATTATTTTTATTTCCAATTCCCATTATTCCAATTATTTCAATTCCAAAAGACTACCATTTCAAACAAGACGACCCACGGGTGGGTCGTAGGTTTTATAAAGGAAAGAGGCTCTGGTCAGAAACGGCAGTAATCGAAAAATCGGCCTTGTCGTGAATGTGTTAAGGCCTTGGGCAGAGTTCACGTTCCATTAATTCATTGATTTCTGGCATAAAAGGAGTTCTCGCATTCTAGCAAGTCGTTTCCGCAATTTCGTGTAAACAATGGTAGCAGAGTTCATCTATTTTTGCGGGAGGAAGGGTGTGGTGATCTAACAAGGGAACGATCCCAACTTAAGGTGGTGAATTGGAATGAACCGCATACCATTGGATGCGTCTTGATGAGCTAATTCCAAGTCTGTCTTCCATATCTGCGACACCGTTATCTGCAAAAAGTTATGAGCGGTTGAAAATGTGAGGTTATCGGGATCTTAATGCATAATATGCTTTAAAATCCAACTTGGAAGTGCACGACTAGCATGATATTGAGTGTACTGATTCCAGGGAATGCTCAGATTCTAAAGAGACACAGATAAGTGTTTTTGAACAACTAAAAAGCAACTAAAGTTCTTTGGTAAAAGCTATGAGCAATGAAAAGTCTAAATTTGGCAAATGTACAGCGTCATACCTCGAGAATTAGTTGTTCAAAAACACTTACCTGTGTTTCTTTAGAATCTGAGCATTCCCTGGAATCAGTACACTCAATGCCAGGCTAGTCGTGCAATTCCAAATTGGATTTTAAAGCATATTATGCATTAAAACCCCGATAACTTCACATTTTCAACCGCTCATAACCTTTTGCAGATAACGGTGTCGCAGATATGGAAGACAGATTTGGAATCAGCTCATCAAGACGCATCTAATGGTGTGCGGTTCATTCCAATTCGCCACCTTAAGTTGGGATCGTTCCCTTGTAAGACGAGAGTAGAGCGAGTGTGTCTCTTTATCACGGAATACTTGGCGCCGCAGCATAATTGCTAGGGGGAAGGCGAGGCGGCGGCGGGGGGGGGGGGGGGGTTGAAGTAATCACGCAGAGGGAGGGAAGAAAGTTGGAGTCGTCAGATGAGAAGAAGGCTACTCCACTTTTCATCTAGCTGATAGCTTTTAATAACGTGCTGAGGGTTGTTCAGGTTTGTATGTGTCCATAAATCTCTGTCTGTCACGAAATCCATGGAGCAAGCTATAGCTAAGGCCTCAGGCTTAGGGTAGAACTCATGCGATATAATCGCCGCGATTCAATCGCTACAAGACAAGTGTTAAGAGTTTATTGCATGCCGATCTTTTGGGATTTCGGTTGTGATAGTTTTTCAACACGACTAATCGTGACTAACTATCACAACCGAAATACAAGAAGATCGGCATGCAATGAACTCGTAACACTTGTCTTGCAGCGATTGAATCTCAACGATTATATCGCATGAGTTCTGCCCTAAGCCTGAGGCCTTAGCTATAGCTTGCTCCATGGATTTCGTGACAGACAGAGATTTATGGACACATACAAACCTGAACAACCCTCAGCACGTTATTAAAAGCTATTAGCTAGATGAAAAGGGGAGTAGCCTTCTTCTCATCTGACAACTCCAACTTTCTTCCCTCCCTCTGCGTGATTACTTCAACCCCCCCCCCTCCCGCCGCCGCCTCGCCTTCCCCCTAGCAATTATGCTGCGGCGCAAGGGTATTCCGTGATAAAGCGACTCACTCGCTCTACTCTCGTCTTAGATCACCACACCCTTCCTCCCGCAAAAATAGATGAACTCTGCTACCATTGTTTACACGAAATTGCGGAAACGACTTGCTAGAATGCGAGAACTCCTTTTATGCCAGAAATCAATGAATTAATGGAAGGAACCAGCGAATCGCCGCAAAAAGTAGCCCTAGACCACCGCCGGGAGTCGAAAACATATGTGTGCGAACTTAAGCTGATTTGTTCAGTGGCGCGCGTTTCTATAATGAACGAACAACTCGAACACACTTACAAAGTTTGAGTTTTATAAATAGACAGACCAGTGCGTTACCTCTGCCTCTGCAGAGGCACGCACTTGTTCTATTGTCTACCTATATGCCTAATTCATCTATCATAACTTATAATAACGGGCTAAGGGTTGTTTACGTTTGTCTGTGTGTGTGTGTGTGTGTGTGTGTGTGTGTGTGTGTTTATGTGTGTGTGTTTATGTGTGTGTGTGTGTGTGTGTGTGTGTGTGTGTGTGTGTGTGTGTGTGTGTGTGTGTGTGTGTGTGTGTGTGTGTGTGTGTGTGTGTGTGTGTGTGTGTGTGTGTGTGTGTGTGTGTGTGTGTGTGTGTGTGTGTGTGTGTGTGTGTGTGTGTGTGTGTGTGTGTGTGTGTGTGTGTGTGTGTGTGTGTGTGTGTGTGTGTGTGTGTGTGTGTGTGTGTGTGTGTGTGTGTGTGTGTGTGTGTGTGTGTGTGTGTGTGTGTGTGTGTGTGTGTGTGTGTGTGTGTGTGTGTGTGTGTGTGTGTGTGTGTGTGTGTGTGTGTGTGTGTGTGTGTGTGTGTGTGTGTGTGTGTGTGTGTGTGTGTGTGTGTGTGTGTGTGTGTGTGTGTGTGTGTGTGTGTGTGTGTGTGTGTGTGTGTGTGTGTGTGTGTGTGTGTGTGTGTGTGTGTGTGTGTGTGTGTGTGTGTGTGTGTGTGTGTGTGTGTGTGTGTGTGTGTGTGTGTGTGTGTGTGTGTGTGAATCTCTGTCTGTCACGAAATTCGTAGAGCGTGTTCCAGCCAACGTCCTGAGCCCATTTGCACAGCGCACGCTACCAGCATAAAACCTCACTATACAAAAGCATGAGCGGATCCGTTGAGTGGATCCATTGAAAATTGCGCGTCAAACGGATCCACTTGGCTTCTGGCCAGCAAATTTGGGTCCGTAGTACTACTTTTTGCAGAGTTAAGGATATATTTGACAAGCTAATGTGCAAGCCATGGACGTTAGCCTAAAAAAGTAATGAAAAGTCTACTACTTCACGAAAACAGCGCCAAAAAGCATTCGCTGTGTAAACGGTCAAATTTTCAAGATTTTAGCTGATTATTTGAGAAGAATTTTGCACAGAGGTGTAGCCCACTAAGTCTATTATCCTTACGGCGACTACCAAGCCATAAAAATTCCAAAAGCCCATTCGAATTTGCATCTGTTCTTCTGGGAAAGATTTTATCCACGCGAAAATACCGATCTCACATGGAAGACCTCTACGAATGAGTAGTTGTTTACGAATTATTCGTGATAGCCTACATAGTGCGGTGAGTTTCAATGTCATTATTATGCGGGAATGAGTAAGGCATACAGAGCATAGGGCCAGTGCGAGCCTCTGCGAAGCAGAGGTGACGCACTGGTATATATATAAAACTCAAACACTGTACCGTGTTTGTTAGGATGTTTGTGGCTTATAGACTCCTTTGTATGTGAACTAAAGAGGCTGAATTTTGATTCCCTATAAACAAGCCACGGCGCAAAAGATAGGCTACTTTTTTCGACAATTCGCTGGGTCCTTCTATCGATTTATTGATTTTGTTCACTAAAATCTAGGAAAATGAAGGCTATACCATTCATTTCTCCAAGTGAGTAGTAAGGGGTGGTAGAGATCATTTACATTTTGCGGTGAGGAGCATGCGGTGTCATGAAGCGAGCCGGTCAAGAAAGAAGACTATTCACCACGGATACTACATGAGCGCTAAAACTGACATGGAGGTGAAGCAGGAGAGAACAGAAGATATGAACTGAAGAAAGTGGAGGACTGGTAAGTATACATCTTGGAGCACACCCTATGCTGGGCCATTCTGGACTCTCGGCCCGGGAGGGACCGGGAACCGCAGCTAGTCCTCGTATAAAGATGGCAATGAATCCCACCGCGCGATGCTGACTATCACAAATGGGTTGCAAATAACCTCATTTCAGGAGCTTTTCCATATGAGACCAGTATATTCTCGCATGGATGGAATTTTCGCAGAAAAACAAATCCAAATTAGAATCGGTTTTCGACCTTCTTATGCTTGGCAGTAAGGAAGATTTTTGCACGGAGATGTAGCTCGTGGTGATAACAATGCTATCTGTCGAATCCTCTCAGTTTTTGTTTATATAATCAACATAGACTCTGATGTACTTCATGTATTGGTACAGCTCCTTTGAGCAAACTCCGCCCACTCCCATGCCTCTCACAAGAACCCTTTTTAAGAGCATCGATAAGCCCGTAGATGAACCCAAAGATCTTAAAGGCAGCGTCCGGGCAAAATTGACCTACCTCAGATGCTGTCACATTTCGACAGGGTCCCCCTCAACTAAGACAAAACAGCAAGTCCGCCCCGAAAATGTGAATTCTGAAAGTCAGGTGGGCGGGTCAAGTGCCGCTCCCCTTCCTCCTTCCGCTCCCCTTACGCCTACGAAGACGAGCTTACATGTTTGACGCGCCCCTTTGACGTGTCGTTACACGCAGGGTTTCTACCTTTGACACATGTTTTCACGTGTCACTACACCAGATAAGTTTCGGAACACTCGTCCGCGATTATTGAAATAGGGTTCCAGAAACGGGGGTTTTGGAGATTTCAAGCAAATCTCGGTTCGGATTTAGATTCAGGGGCGTCGAAAAAGCAAGAAACGCTAGAAACATGGAAGTCGAGGTTTTGCCCGGACGCTGCCTTTAAGCAACTTTTGGCTGAGCCCCGCCCACCTTGAGGCAAACTCCGCCACTAGGAGGTAAGCTCCGTCCACTTTTGAAGGTGCAGAATTCGCATGAATTCTGAAATTTGAGCAATTTTCGACATTTTTGGCCGAGTGGGCGGAGCTTGCCGCATGGGGCGGGGCTTGCACATTTTATGTCGTGCATGGATGCATGCGTATATACATGCCGCAACGCGTAGGGATGCACGGAAATGTTTCGTCCACAGGGACAGACCTTAAAAAATGGCTCGTCTTTAGCGTGTTAAGAAGCCTGAAAATGATAAGATAATCTATGATAGCAATTTCTTTTCTAGTCTCCAAACTAGTACATTCTAAACTATTGTTCAGCCACAATCTGGCTAATTCTTCCAAAATAAAATCTATCGCAGCTAGGAAGTTCATGCATGTCTCACTTAAAAAAATTTTGATTTGATTTATTCATTTTATTTTTATGGAAGCGAGATAAGGAAAAACTCAAAGAGGTCACTTAAAGCCTATTGCAATTTTTAGCCGTTTGCTCTGATGTGTTTTTTTTTTAACTTGCTTGGTAATACCACTGATGCTGTTCACACTTTGTTATCTTATTCGTTTACTTGCTTCACATTATTACTGAAATCCTCAAAATTCATCATTTGTAAAAAAAAGCGCATTTGATTTTTGAAATATCACGTGTATGATATCTGTTCCTTCCGGGTTAAGACATTTTTTTCAACTAATCAAGTGTGTTCTGGGGTACCATGAGTGCAAGAAAGAAAGTAAATCAGAATACTTTAATCAAGATCAAATACACTTTTAACAATTGTTATGTGATAATTTAAAGAGCATTATATATTAATTTCCATTTTTTGCGTACTGCTAACTGATCATTTAAAACGGATAGCCTCTTTTGAATTGGAACTCATCGCTGCCGTAGTCCCCATTTTTTCTGGGTTATTCCACAGATCTGTAGCAGCTTCTTTAGTCGTTGCTGTCATTATTTGCATGCCATTCTTGTCCTCTCTGTTTTTCGCTTGAGATGAGGTTGCTGGATGGTTTGGGCGTTCGCCGTCTGTTCTCAAACATCTTAAAGCTAGCAATAAAAGTATGATAAGGATGAATTTGACTAATATAAGCGGTACTAATATGAATAGAAGCGGTTTACTGAAAAGGTTTATATAAGAGGAGGCTTATATAGTACTGATCAGCTACTCACATGCTGCGCTCGTGCCTTGGCCTTGCTACTACTTTTTTTTCTTCCTTATAATCATCGTACACTCCAATGAATTTGTCCTCATTTGTAGCTAAAGTACCTAAATATTCAAATCCTGAAAATCCCAAATAAGTGTAAAGTATTAATCTATAGTGCTAGATGCTAGTGAGACCAACGCATTTTCAAGCATAGTTGTTAATGTACTCATTGTTTTAGGACCTTCAGTAACTGTCGTGAACTTCGCAGTTGTGGTAAGAGTGGTTGTAGCAGTAGTAGCTGCAGTGGTAATAGTAGTGGTCGTAGTAGTAGTAGTAGTAGTAGTGGCTGTCGTTGTGCCTTCAATATGTGTAGTTGACTTGGATAAATAACATGCTCATTCAACTTCAAAAAGTCGAACAATCATTTTTTCGTTGAAATTGCTCCTGTACATTAATGCAAATATGATACTCTTCGGTCTAAAGGCAGCTTCAAATGACGAAGTTCAAAAGCGATATAGTGGTAGATTTTCCAAAATGACACTAGCGACAACATCGCTCTATGAGGGTTGTCACAATGGTAATCCGCAAGTAAACGTGCTCTGGCGCTCGCGCACAGCCGAGCTTCAAAGCATTTGAAGACCTCGCAAATTCTCTTTGAAATTGTTTGCGAATTTATCGTAATGCATTTGAAAAGAGCGGAAGTGAAATTCAAGTTAGTACTCGCAAATCTTATCCCTCATTGCGGAAAGGTGCTCTGTTGATACCCAGCATTTGAACGTTCTCCTCAAAATTGCATTCTTTACACTTTTGAGTAGTCTGAAAATAATTCAACGAGTATTGTGTTAGTAAGAAAGTTTTGGACATCTGTAGGATAAATCTGCTATTTCTCAAAGTTTAATACATGTGCGAAAATTTGCAGGCGTCTTTTGCGCATGTAGCTAATATCTAAGCAACAAAGAGTTCAAATGGGTCTCAGATTCCACTTTTGAATGGCCTCGTTTTTTTGAAACTTGAGCTCAAATTCCAAGCCTGTGCATGTACATTCGATGTCATTCAAATGCTCCCTCTTCCGTAACAGCCACCGTCCGCACAGCAAGGGCCTAGCGCGGCGACTCCGATCGATGAGGCTAGTTTTGGATGTGCAAGCTATACGCGCAAGGGGCGCGAGCCTCTGGAGTTGCGATTCGGATGGCGGAGAAGGCAGCTGAACGCTGACATGGACTGTATGTATGCATTTATGTGTCTGTTATAAACGGGGGCATGTGGAAGTGTGTAAGGTTTAAAGGCACCATCCACCCAAATTCTCGACTTCCATGTTTTTGTCGATTCCAGCCCTTCTGAAGGCCCTTATTTCGGATATGGAGTCGAAAATCAGCGAAACACCCAAAAATCCCTGTTTCGAGAACCCCTGCAGCAAGCGCAGGCGAGATAAAGCATGCAAGTGAGCGGGGCGACCATGGTCGCCCCGCCTATTTTACTAGCGGATTTCTCGCTCCAGAAGCAGTCTTTTGCGGCGCAGCTTGGAGGTTTGCCTAGTGTGGGGGCCCACACTAGTATGCCATCATAATCTCGCCAACCTCCATTTTGGGTTGGACGGTGGCATCAACGAAGTCGGGCTTGGGTTGAAACAAATCTATGTTTTGACTCTCGTCCGCATTTTCATAGGAAACATCGATAATGTTCGAGGACGATTTTGATTTCTTTGCTGTATCCAACGGCCCGTGCGCCTCGGTACTCAAAAAAATCAAAATGCAATGCTTGAGAATTATCTTACCAACCTGATACTCCATGCTTTGCAATATGGACAATAGATATTTTGTTGGTACTTTATTTTCTTGAGCTTAAAAAGAATGGTGCTCTGCTTCATCATCCATCCTCTCCAAAGGTACAACGTTTCTTGTTCTAAATTCTTCCTATCCTTCCTTTCCCTCCACTGTCCTACCATTCCCCCGTCCCTCCCTCCGGTTCTCTCTCGCAGGAGAGGAGAACGCTGCATCCGTAAATGAAGCAAAGCGCCACCGCAACGGTCATGATTGTTAGCGCGTTAATGTAATCTTGGTAAGCTTTTGATTTTTGTCGTGATCTCAAGCGCATTGTTTTCTAAGTAAAGGTAATCAATGGGCTTCTCGCTCTGTGCAAAACAATTTCTTATTTTTTAGAAATCGTTCTCATTTTTTGTTGATACCTTTACGCCAATTGTTAAATGATTATTGCAAAACATTTCTACCGGCAATAGGCCTGTTAGACAATTTTATAACCTAAGCAAACATCATAGAGTCTCTTTCATTTACCGAAGGAGAAGTAGAATTTGTTTCGAATAACAAAGAAGGACCGTAATATGGCCATATGAATGCGCGCGCTTTCAACAAGTAAGTTTCAGTCATGAAATCCATGAAATTTTTGAGGGTACTTCCAACAATGTGTAATGATGCTTGTGGTCTTTTGCAACTTTTTTCTAAGGACAGGAAACTACAGGGATTTAGATATGCTGTAAATCCATCCTCAAGTGTTTTCAAACATGTTAACACGTTGACGACCGTGTGTATCCGCGCGTATGCACGCCCTGACCACCTTGTAGCACTTTCACGCATCAATTTATCATGTGTAAACGAAAATTTCTCAGTAACTTCTATGCAGTATTAACACTGGTGGCCTGGTTGTCATATAGAACACACGGCATTGCGGTAGCTGTTAAACAGTCCAAACCGCAGCCGTAGATTATCAGTCCATTTTGAGGTGGTCAAAAATGGCCCGGTCGTCAACGTGTTAACTAACAGTGCGTCACCTCTGCTTCGCAAAAGTCGCACTGGCTCTATCTTCATGTCTTGCTCGTATATGCATGAATTGATTGTGAAAATCATATGCAAAGTTTGTCCGTCACGAATAAATCAAAAACAGCAACTCATTCTTAGCGCTTTTCGGCAGAACATTGGTAAATTTGGGAGAAGAAACCATTAGGCGGAAGACAAATGCGAATTTGATTAGTTTATAGAATTAATATGGCTTGATAGACGCTATAAAAGACAATGATTGCATTGAACCACATTTTAAGTAAAGTTTTGCTTATTTAGGTGGGACATTGACGAAGCGACAATTAGCGCATTCATAGCTTTTTGGCGCTTTCCTCGCAAAAAATAGTCTTTGGTCATTTTTGGCCAAAGTCTGTAGCTTGCAGATACACATATTAAGCAAATCCATGGCAATGCAAAAAGTCTAAAAACCGGCCTAGTTTTGCGAGCTGAAAGACATGTGGATCTGGATGAAGTGTTTCTTAAAAAACCAACATCAGCCCGTCTTTTGCATGGTGAACATGATGGCAACGGGTGTAATGCAATAATTGGGCTCAAACACCGGCTGGAACTCTATAAACTCTATAAATTGCTGTACAAATTTCGTAACAGGCAGAATTCACACGAAGAGGCACGAGGCTTCAGCGTGCTACTATGGTTAGGTAGAGGTTACACACAGTACTGCTATACGAGGCGCTTTTGATTTCTGTGTAATTCCCATGCTCCCCAGCTGCGCCACCTTTTCAGTAAGTCATTATCCTCTCTTTAAAATTGGTGGATTCATTGTGTGCTGGTTAACTCAACCAACAGTGCTAGATATAAGCTCGTTTTGATAAGAAAGAGGGATGTAATAAGAAGTTTAAGGAACCACAGTTTGAAAGTCGGAGTTCACCAAGAATTTATTACTTCAAAGACATAGATTTTGTCAGAAACGTATGTGGCACATTTAATATATAATTAATGATTTGTGATGTTCCCATTAGCTTTATAAACTCCTCTGTAGAAATTACGGTTGGCTGGGGGTCATCGACGAATCATGCAAGATACTAGAAAATGCGGCTCGTACGTCACTACGCCTTTGCTGGAGTCTATGGTGACGGATATCAAGAATATGGAGATTTGGATTCACGCACGCGGTCCTAACTCAAACTTTGACTTGAAGATGCTTGTAACTGTGCAAGTAATTACATTTTCAGAATACATGCAACAAAAATAGCAGCAAGAGGTCAAAACTAAAGTGTAACATTCAAACTTACTTGAGGTGGGGAATTTTATTGGAGGCAATCTGCTTATAATGCAGTAAAGTGCGCTAGAAATGGTAGTCGATGTAGAATAAGTCAATAAACTCAAGATCCTATATTCAAACCTTCTTAATCGATCACTCAAATACGCTCTGTAGATGTATTCCCCCAATGTTTGCTGAATCAAATGGGTTTTAGATGCATGAAAAGGCATTGGAATAAGATAGTAAAACACCTGTATCCAGGTTTCGCTATGTAAAAACTGTTTCCTCCGTCTGCATTTCAGTTCGTCGTGGTGTGTTTCACTTGACATTTGGCAAAAATCCTTTGAGGAAGCTTCATTTTAATAATTCAAACTTCACAGACCAGAAAAAATCTTACATAAATATCCGAGGGCGGATATATTATGTACTTAAGAGTTACATCTATCTTGAAATTACAGCTGTCGTACCAGTAATATCTTGGAAACTTGAACACATAAACGGCTTGTATCATTTCTCCATCCTCAATTACCTGGGAACGAGTTGCAGATTAAGAAAGCTGAGTTCTGTCAGATGTTTTGGAAGCATTCAGGACATTGACGTGGGAAGCACCTTTGTTGTTCGTGGCTTTTATGATACGATGTAAATGTGAATACTTGTGCCGCACGCTGAACTCAAACCCAAATTCATATCTGCGAGGCGACGTGAAAAGGATTGTGATTAATGTGGATAGTTGTGAAACTAAATTTTGAGTGAGGAGATTTATACCTACAATCATACATGGTTGATGTAGTGGAAAAGTCTGCCGCACAAGTTAGGTCAAATCTAGGTTTCGGGATGAGGCTAGCAAGTAGACATACGGCGAACTTATGTACCATCGCACCTCATTACAAAATCTTCCTTGATCGCGCCAATTGCTCAGTCTTTCAGCAGAGCGAGTTTTCTTCTTTGAAGGCTGTGTCCGGGCAAAAAATCGATTTGTTTTGTGCTTACTTGGACTATTCGCTATGCTGAACACTGTAGAGCGCAAAAACGGCGAAAAAGGGCTCTAACGCAGGAGGGAGATTAGCAAACGGGAGGGTCTTTCCCACTGTGAATTCACGCTCCCAGTTAGAGCGATCTACTCGGTTGCAATCGTAAGTCACGCGTTTGCGCTTGTCCGGTAACGATTCGGGCGGCTAGCGGAATCGAGAAGTTCGCTTCGGTAGCTGGGAGCGTGATTTCATAGGTGAAAAACCGCCCACTTGTTAATTTTTCTCCTGTTTTAGAGCCCTTTTTCGCCCTTTTCGCGCTCTTTAGTGTGGATTTTTGGATTCAGCATAGCATTCAGGATAGGCCCGTGCAAGCACAAAATCTTAAAATTGACTTCCTGCCCGTACCGGCTTCAACAGCTGACTGTTCCTTTGTTATTTCAAGCACGAAGAATAGAGATTTAACGAGATTCTACTATATAGTGGAAGTTTAGGTTAGAACAAGGTAATAGGATTAGAATAAATTATGTAAAATTAACAAAACGTCTTGTGAGCTGGAAGCTTTGCCATCTTTAGGATAAAACTTGCAACCCTAAATTTTAAAGTTGTACACGCTCTTCATTTTACATGAGTTTTTCATATAATTTCATGATTTGCTCTTAACTAGTATTGCTGTACAACATCAACTCGAAGCCATATCTATGTACTGCGAAAGAGTCATTTCCCTTAATGGAAACCTTTCATAAACAAAGTTCTTCGCAACATTTTAGGCGCATAATTTCATTTCTGTTCCTAGTAGACGTGTCCTTCTAAGTGTCATTTGGTAGCGTCTTATATGTGCGATGTAAACGAATTTACTCTCTGCTTTTTGCAAGAGAGGCTACCAACTTAGCTGGGCCTTTTGGCAAGCATAATTTACTCCTATAGTGTACAAAGTACATTATTCTACTTCATTTTTTTACATATATTTTGGATCAGCTTCAAATGCTGGTACCGTGCCACGCACCATTCCGAAGCGACTTATGGGCTTTTTTCTGCGCGAAATTGGTATAGTCATCGAACCACTGGCATCATGGCATCATTCTCATCTGAGTGCTTGTATCTTTGCGTAGCTTCTTTTAGGAGAAAGGATTGAATTTGTCTCAAAACTCCACTAAAAACCCCTACCCTTTACCCCCTTCTGCATGAGCTTACCTCAGAAAGATTGACTGGAGTAACAGTCTTCTACACTTCGGGTTGAGAATGAACTTCAGTGCATTGCCAAAATGTGCAAGCGATTTGATAGCGACTGATAAGAGTTCATTTTCATAGAGTGCCAAAAATCAAATCGATAGAAGAATTCCGCGAATCGCTTTGAAGGTTAGCTTGAAACTATCTACGAGGTCGAAAACATATGTGTGCAAAATTTCGGCTCAATCGTTTACGCGGTCGAGTCGCCCAATCGAGTCTATAAAAAACAAATGGTAAAGAAATGCACGAACTTTGACTTTTATATCTAAAGGGTGTCCCAAAAAATATGCACACTGTTTGATTGTAAATAACTCTCTTGTAGTGAAGTGTTTCGAGAAGCTTTAGGTACCGTTTTGTAGAGCGAGGCTCAACTTAGATTTGCAGTGTAGAGCGAATCGCCGATCGCTCATTCTTACTGTAGGAGTACGGTAGAAACTTCAAACATATGGTGTCACTGTGAAAAAAGCGGCCGTTTCAAAAATTTTCAAAAAAACGTGGAAATTTGTGTAATAGGTTTTTATGGACCCTGAGTTCAATACTCAACTCTTTACAAGATAGAGAAGCTTTCTAAACGGTGTAAGCACACTTTTTAGGAACTCTTAAAAAACTCTGCTACTGCTTACCTCGCGTAATTTTCTAATGAAGCATTACAAAGAGTTGCGAACTTCCCATTTGGAATCAGCAACTCTAGTTAGCCCAGTGTGAGAGTTTTCAGGTTGTTTTGGTTTCTTTTTGGAACAAAATATGGCCTTTCATGGTTCAAAACCCTCTTCAAAGTTTTGATCGTAATCCTACAGATGAGAGATCGGCGATCCGCGGTTTACTGGATGTTATTTCTCTAGGTTCGCTGAAAAATTGACTGAATATTTACGATTTCTTGATGGTTGTCATAATCTGACCTTGAACATTTCTAATTTGGATCGAATCTCGCTGCGCTATAGGATTGCGCTGCATACGCGAGCTGTTGCAGAGAGTGAAGAGATCGAGAAGAGAGCAGACTAGCTAGCCGCAGATGTGGCGCGAAACCCTCGCGGCGCGAACTTCCGCCATGCCGATTTTGGTCTGGTTAGGATTGGGGCAGACTGTATGGCATATAGATAGAAGAGCCAGTGCGAGCCTCTGCGAAGCAGAGGTGACGCACTAGTCTAATATAACTCCTTCGAATTCTATTTTAGTTCTAAAACGTTATACAACACAAAATATGTGCCACTGGCTTTTCAAGCTCTTAACATTCATATGGAGGTCTGATATGATGACTTCATCAGATGAAAGCTTTGCGCAGAAAAAGTGTGAGTTTCTTTCTGTGGAGCTGACCTATCGCATTCTGATAGGAAAGCGCAGCCTCGCTTATGTAGAGCACGTCACTCGCTTAGCTTGGTACCACGAGTCTAGCCATCAATGCTAATCAACGCTAAACAAGCATAGTTGGTATTTCACAGAAATTAGTGCTGAAAATGCTGCAATAGCGAAACAGTCTAATATTCGCTTATTTGATAAATATGGGCACTTACACCAGGTGGAAGTTTGTCCAGTAACTGCCAAGTAGACGTGATATAATACGTGTATACAGGAAATATAAAGATCCATAGTGTTTGCCAAAACATGATAGTTCTATACGGCCGTACATAAAGAAATGAGAACTGCCTAACAAACTGTCCTTAATAAGTAAGTGATGAAGTGACACCCTATTGAAATCATTTCTACTTCATTGCTCTTTAGGGAAAACACTATCGTGACTGTAACCATCAATCTAGGTAACATACTAAGGCCCCGGTCAGACTTCACGCGACTCAATCGTCGCGATCTAATCGCCAAGATTTCCATTCATTTTCATTTCACATTTAAAAATTTCGGGCTGGAAAAGTATCACAACCGAATGCAAGTTGATCGGCATGGAATGATGTTGTAACAGTTGTCTCGTCGCGATTCAGTCGCGACGATCGAATCGCGTGAAGTCTGCCCGGGGCCTAAGGCAGGCTCTATACTCCTCGAGGAGTATAGGATGGCGACGATCGATATGCATCAAATACGTGTAAATTGGCGATTTTTGTCGGCGATATTGGCGATCGCCAATATCGGCGACGTATCGATTTGACATGTGGTAGCTTGTAAGCGATCGATACGCATAGAAGACATAGTCGCCAGTATTGGCGACTGGCGATCGCCCGTCGCCATGCTTTACTATTCGAGGAGTATAGCGCCTGCCTAAGTCGCTCATGAATTTGTGGGATTTTTATTTTTACCGTCACTTGCTGAGGAAGAGGCTGATTCGCGTCAAAGTACCTGCACCATGAGAGAGTCTTGCTCCACAAGAACTGTTCTTCAACTTCGAAGAACTTTGTGCGAGATCCGTGAAGCTGCGACATAGTTTGCAAGGGCACTCATTTGCTGCAGAAGTGCGCACATGAAGCGCAATTAAGACTGAACCTCTCGTTTTGTTACTTCCAGCAAATCCTGACGATCTCATCCCTCAAGCTATGCCCTGAAGTTTGACATCCGCTATAAAGGGCTAATCTTAAAACTGTATACTTCGGCTACGGTAAGTAGCGCTCCTTTTCGAAGTTGACGTGTATGCACAAATGTATCTTATATATAAAGCTGAATGTCTGTATGTATGCATGTCTGTATGTACGTTCCGAGTACAAAATGCCATTTCTCAACCGATTCGGACCAAACTTGGCACGCCACTTCGGGGCGGGGCGGGTGTCATAGGCTACTTTTCGTCATCGATCGATACCGATTTTATCTACTTTTATCGATTTTTTTTTTGCAAAGTTTGAGCGACGGGGCTGGGAGTTGGCATGGGGGGGAGGGTAACCGAGCATGCTGGTTACGAATACAATATTATTTTTTGAAATCATCCATCACTTTTATCGATTTTATCGATTTTTTGCAAAGTCTGAGCTACAGGCTGGGAGTCAGGACGAATTCGAAACGCACAAGCGTACCCTGATCGGCAACGCGGCAGCGACGCGCAGTTTTCTCAGCCGAGCGCGACAGCAAGCACGAACTTGGCTTTTTTTACGTTTTTTGAAGTTTCAGACGCCGATCTTTGTACACTTGTGTGTTCCGAATGCGCTTTCGACAAGGCTTTTCGAACTCGATCAGCAACAAGCACTATTGTCACAAAGTGGAGCAATCACAGCTTTGTAATATTGGTGTCTAAAATTTTCGGGTACAGCCATGCGCACATAGATGGTTTTGTGATTTCGTTCGCAATCTCCAAGCTTTCTCCACAGTCTAAAATTTCTCCGAAATATTACGCACTGGAGAAGCATCGTTACGTCTGAGGATCAAACTCCCACTAACGGATTTGGTCACTACAAAATGTTACCTTTATCAGTGGCGTACCGAGGGGGGGGGGGGGGGGGGAGCAGGGGCCCCCCCCCCGAGAACGGGTCGCGAAATTTTTGAAACTTACTTACATGGGTTATAAAATTGTGCAAATGACTTGTCTGCATTTGTAAATAATTAAAATAATTTTTAAAATTTTTTAAAAATTCATTTCAGCCTTATAAAAAAATTTTTCGGGGGCGTGGCTGAAGCCACGCCCCCTTTTTCCAGATTTTAGAGGTCGGAGACCCGCGAAAATTTTAAGAAGTACCCCAAAAATTTTTCCGGAGTGCGTGGCTAACGCCACGCACCTTCTTTAGAAAATTTTTTTTGTCGCGCTCTCCCCCCCCCCCCCCGAGCCGAAATCCTGAGTACGCCACTGACCTTTATTAATTTCAAAAAGCCGCGCAGACTGAAAAAAGACACTGAATTGCAAAGTGCTTGCTCTATCCGCCGGTCAGCGAATTATGTTTGGGATCCTAATGAGAATGAAAATTAGTCAAAGTTGTACATGATGAAAACGTCGGGTTGAGCCTCGGTGAGTGACTTTGAGGAGCAACCAAATCGAGAACATAGTTGCTGAAAGAGAAAGGCGAAATAATTAGGTGATTTGTTTCTTTGCAAATCCACCCCTACCGCGTCTCGCAATGTCCTCTAGCATCAGATAATTTGTAGTCGTCACAGTGAGCAGCCTATTTGAGCAAAAACTGAAAAAGAAATTTGAAAACTATCTTCCACGTTACCCACTGTACCCCAAGCTAAAGCAGTTATGTATATACAAAGGTGTGCCATGTCGAAGTAGCTGAATGGTAACCTTCAGATTAGTCCACTCTGAACATAGACCTGATGCGAACAATTCGGCGCTATTCCAGTATCCGGGCCCCAAAATTTTTTTGACATGAATTTTGCTGAAACTTGGCCCAAGGGGGTTATTCGATCCGCTGATGCTGAATATCACATTGGTTTTTGTACCGTAGCGTCATTTTCTCGAGTTACGGTAGGTGTACGGTGAGGGGTCAAAATCTCAAAATTCGCTGTAACTTCGCACAAAGGGGTTATTCAACATGCTGATTAGAAATATCACACTTTCTCCGCACAAAAACGTCTCCCTGCACGGTTACGGTAGGTTTACTGTAGGGGTCAAAATCACGAATCGGCAAATGTATCTTCTCCCTGTGCTTTGCTTAGGCAAAAGCCGCAGCAGGGTGTGTAGCGCGCGACGGTGGTCGTGTGTGCAAAGCTTCACAATCGTCCGAATCGCCGTACACCCGTTTCAGGCAGAAGTAGGTTTTCCACACGTCACCGTGTACCTACCGTAACTCGAGAAAATGACGCTATGGTACAACAAGGTGATATTTGGCATCAGCGGGCCGAATAACACCCCTGTGTCAAGTTTCAGCGAATTCTGGAATTTTGACCCCTTACCGCACACCTACCGTAACCCGAGAAAATGACGATATAGGGGCCTGCAGGATCGCGAGAGTCGGACGTGCGTACGGCCATTGCGCCGCGCACGTCGTATGTCACTGGGTCGTACTCGATTTAGGCTGGATAGGTGAGATTTTTTTGTTTTTCTTCTCATTTCTCGCCTTCTTTTCTTTTCAGGCGGCGAACATATGTTGGTGCAGAGGAGTTTAAGATCTAGATTAAGGTGAGGTGCAGGATTATGCTCAACACGGGCCAATATTGTGGACTTTTCACCCCTGCTTTGAAGAATGTTGAGTTTTCTGTTCTGGCTGTCCGATTATGTTCGATTTTTCGTCCTGCCTGCCCGGTTACGAAACTCCGTTTTATTTGCAACGTCTGTTCTACCTCATCTTGCATCATGCGCGTCATCACAATCATAATCATTGTCATCATCATCATCATCATCACAAGCAATATGCAAGATAAGGTAGAATAGACGGTAGAAGTAGAACAGTTTGCTGTAACAGGGCAACCAGGACAGAAAATCCAACATCTCAACCAGCAGGCATGGAAGGTCTGCAATATTGAGTCCGTATTGAGCATAATCCTGCACCTCACCTTAATTCAGATCTTAAACTCCTCCGCACCAACATGTGCTCACCGTCTGAAAAGAAAAGAAGGCGTGAGATGTAAAGAAAAAAAAAACTTACCTATCTAGCCTTAATCGACTACGACCCAGCGATACCAGGCGTGCGCGGCGCAAAGGCCGTACGCGCGTCCGACTCTCGCGATCCTGCAGGCCCCTATACAAAACCAATGTGATATTTGGCATCAGCGGGCCGAATAACCCCTGTGGGTTAAGTTTCAGCAAAATCCATGCGAAAAAAATTTTGGGGCCCGGATACTGCAATAGCGCCAACAATTCTGTGAACCCCGGCAGAGGCCGTCCAAGCACAGCCGCCGCGATTCTTTTTTCACGAATAATGAGCGGCAATCCAGGAACTTCACATCCCAGTAGCTGATCTGACTTCGTCCTAACGATCCCTACTACAGTTTCAAGCCCCAAAAGTATGGGTACATATGTTGCACAAACTATATCTGTAGTAGTGGGTACCACAATTTTCTAACGAATTCCACCTTGTGGTGAAAACTACACCCAAAGACCAATTCGAACTTTTCTGCTTTCTACACTTACAAACAGGTGAGACCAGAATTGGCAATAAGTTTGCAAAAAAGCCGTAACTTCATCAATAACGCTATCAATAGATTTCCTTTTCGCTTCTTGGTAATGTTAACAACCGAGTCTATAAATTAAGGCTGAAAAGGATACTTTATCGATGAACAATCTGCATGAATCTTTTCTAAGCGATCTTACTTCTCTTTCCACCCTTGTCATACATCTACTTGACTTTGCTGATATTCCACTTATTGTGGAACATCACCGGTACGTTAAACGCAAATAGTGCATGCAAAGAAGTCACAAAAAAAGCGTTCCAGTTCTGTCATACATGCTCCAATAATCGTGCGCTTGAATGTCGGGACGAATTCGAAACAGACCAGCGTACAAAGGTCGCCGTCTAAACTAAAAAAAACGTTTATAGTGTGGACCCCGGCCAGCTTCCCATAGGTACCTGCGCGACGCACCCGCAACGCACGCCTTCAGTGCGTCTCCTGTCCTAGCTTCTGATGGAAATCCTCCTTTCTCTCTCTTTTTTTTTGTTTTTGGTATACTATATTCTCTCTATTTTAGGTATAAACAATTCGCGATGAACGGTGACGAGATTTCACGTGCTCTAATAGTTCTAAGAGCTTCAGCCTTGTATAGTAGTCTTGTGTTTTCCCTTTTTTCTCTGAAAAATGAGAT